ACACACACGCGCACGCCTCAGGTTCCAAATGGCACCAGAACAACAACAGAGTTCAGAGCATTGTGGGAAATATTTGTCCCTGACTCACTGGAGAAATGTGTGTGTGGTGGTGGTTAGTGTGTATTAGTGTGTATTAGTGTGTATTAGTGTGTATTAGTGTGTATTAGTGTGTATCAGTGTGTATTAGTGTGTAATAGTGTGTATCAGTGTGTATTAGTGTGTATTAGTGTGTATCGGTGTGTATTGGTGTGTAGGTGAGACCGTGTTGATGTCCGTGTCTGTTGTCCGTTCCGTCCTGTGTTTATAAAGCAGAGCGTCACTGCCCCCTCTGGCTCAAAGCTGAATCTGCTGTCCACACAACACGTCACAAACAACTTGTTGTCGTTCTGACCTGTGACAGAAGCTTCTTGAGGAGCTGAGCGATGGCCGGGTCCTCGGGAGTGGGGCATTCTGGGATAGATCCGGCTCGCTTCTTCTGCCGCAGCAGCAGGTGTCGAAAGAGGCTGGCGATGTCTTTGGAGCGCAGCGCGTAGTCGAAGATGGACCGACTGACCGGCTCCTTCAGGACGCTCAGCAGGACCAGCTCCTTATCGATCTGAAGACAGACGGAGCGGCGAGGGTGACGAAGATGAAGATGAAGGACAGGTGAGATAATGACTGAATGGTGATGAGGAGGAGGACTCACCTGGATGATGGGCTGGGTGATGAAGGGGTTGAGGTGGGGCATTAGTTTACAGTAGACATCGGCCACGTTGAGGTGCTGAGCGACCACAGTGATGAAGCCCACCGCCCCGTAACGGATCCACAGGTTGGGATGACACAGGAATGGAGCTACGGCGAGCGGGAAGGGACACGTTAACAAATCCAGAAACCAGCTGAGCCACGATTTTAAATCTCACCAAACGTCCTCTCACCAATATCGCTGACAAACTCGTAGATGTGAGGTTTCTGCAGCAGACCCAGCTGACACATGCAGGTGAGAGCGTTGAGAGCTTTGTAGATGACAAACTCCTCCGTGTCGCTCAGACCTTGCTGCAGGAGAGGCTTCAGGATGGAGGAGCTCTGCCAGCCCACGTACGCCGCCACGCCTTCGACACGAGGACAGAGCATAAACAGGAAGTGAGCGTGAATACAAAAAACTCAACTCAATCAATTCTGTGATGGAGATTTGTTGCGATGATGAACTTACAATAAGAAATCGTAACTTCACCATCGTGAAACCTTGTGTTTGTACGGAGAGAACAGAACGGAGAACTTCATGAAGCTATCTGAGGTTCTTACCCACGATGCTGTCGAAGAAGGCTCCTCGCAGGTGCCAGTCGTTCTTGTCGTTGAGGAAGGTGATCATGTGGGACAGCAGTACGTCGTTGGCTTTCTGTCGGCCGAAGAAGACGCAGAGGCGCGTGATGCCGTTCTCCATCAGCGACTGTTTGACGATGTTCTCGGAGTCGCACAGCAGCGTGACCACCTTCTGCTGCACCATCTCGTGCAGCGCCTGCAGCTCTGAACATCAGACGCAGCGAGTCCGTCACGCTGACACACAGCAGCACATATGACACCAGCAGTGAAAGAGCAGCTTGTGTGTGGTTCTGTACCTGAGTCGTAGTTTTCGTTCGGGTGAAGTGTTTCCTCCGCGTCCTCGCCGCTCAGGTCCTGCTCTGTGTTCACGTTGTTTTCCTGAACGAGTTCAAGGAAACGCAACGCGCTCTCCGCCAGATGTGCAATGTTCTCTGAACGCAACCAAGACAACAATACTAGATGTTAGTCGGACGAACAACTCCGATGAATCGCCGTAGAAGTGACATTAGATATTATAATTATAATATTGAAAATCTATTATATGTCAATATCAATGTTTCTGAGAGAGGGTGAGAAGGTGCTGAATAGAACAAGCTCCATGATGGATCCCTGAGGGACGCCATCATGACATAGTTTCAAATCTTCACACCTGCAGTGTCATAAACAAAGCTTCTTTCATTTCAGACCCCGTCACCGACCTGCGTACGCCAGCCTGACGATGGTGGCGTCGTCCTGGGCGAGGTGTGCGATGCCTGGCAGGATGTACTCTGGATAGATGTTGACGTCGTTCCTAGGCACCTCCTTCACCAGCGCCAGCACTTTGGCCAGAGTTCTTACCGCCTGAGCTCGCACCCGAGGAACGGGGTCGTTGCAGAAGTGCAGCAGGTAGGGCGTGATGCGGTCCAGCAGGATGTCGACGCCAAGCCGGGGAGCCAGGTGGAGGGTGAGCTCCAGAGCGGCAAGTTTGGAGTCGCAGGAGTGCAGCGTCTGCAGGCAGGAGGTGATGACAGACACCAGGACGATGAGGCCCTGCTCCTCCCTGGAGCTCAGCACGCTCTCGCTGCTCTCCTGCGATGAAGACGAGGAGCCTGGAGAGGACAAAGACAAACCAGCGCTTGAGAAAAGGTTTCTCGTTGTGCAACATTAAAAATGTTCAACATCTCAGGTACGACTCCTTCTCACCTCCTCGCAGGTTGTGCAGGATGTTGTCGAGGTCTTTGCGGATGACGAGCACTCGCTCGTCTGCCGACTGGAAGGTCTCTTTGGCAAACTGAGCCATGTACGGCTGCAGGAAGGTGTAGAAGATGTCGGGGAAGGCTTTTCCTCTCTGCTGTTTCAGATACTCCTCCGCCGTCAGGCGCTTCTCAGGCTCCCGCTGCACCATCTGACCCACCTGAGAGGTCGTTGAGGCTGTTGTCACTACATTTCCTTAACCAGTTTCCTTTAAACACATTTCTTTATGTTGCTCTGGAGGAGAGAAACAGAGCAAACAACCTCTTATGTGCTGCACAAATAAAGATGAACTGAACGGTTACCAGCTCTCGGATGCTCCGGTCCTCAATCTTCATGAGCACTTGCTCGGTCTGAAACAGTCCTTTGCGATACGCCAGCAGCTGCGACAGGTCGAAGAGCGGGACGCCCTCAGTGAAGAGTTCTGCTACGACACAGCCTGAGACACGACACGATTAAAACTCACACTGATGTTCAGCCTCTAGTTTAATTCTGATTATTTCATTTTTTAAATTTCAGAAACTGATGAAACATTGCTGTGAAGAGCCCCCCCTGCTGGTGAGTGAAGAGGTGTTCATATGGGCTTTGTTCATCGATAAGGTTTCTATCGGTCTTTTACTCCGTGACATCACGTCACCGCTGTGTTTAATGTTTTAATTTGAAAATTTATAGAAAATAAAGGTTGAATCAGCGAGAAGCTGAAGTCGATCATCTTATTGTTTCTTGTTATGACGTTATGATACAAACTCTATAACAACCTGTCTCTTCATAAGAGGAGACGTGTTTGGACTCTGTACCTGCAGAGAAGATGTCCATGGCCTGTTTGAGCTCCCCTCTGCTCCTCTGGTTGTTGTTGGTCAGGTCCACCAGCGGCGTGTTCTGGTCGCTCTCTGTTGTAAACATGCTTCCATCCACAAACCTCTCGGGAGCGATGTAGCACGTCCTCCGTCGGGATGTGTCGAAGAAGTAGTTGAAGTCGGCAGGGTTGTCCTCTGGCAGGTACGTGGGCTTAAAGCTGGCGAAGTCTGTGAGCAGCACCCAGTTCCAGCTGGTCACCATCACGTTCTCTGTCTTGATGTCACCGTGGCGGACGCCAGATTTGTGTGCCTGGTCGACGGCATTGAGGATCTGAAAGGCCAGCCAGCGCTTCTCCACGTTGTTGAGGAAAGGCCGGGTACTGATGCGGTCGTACAGGTTGTCCCGGACGTACTGGCGGAACAGGATGGCGGCTTTCTCCGTCAGGGAGGTTTTCTGGAAGGGCAGGCAGTTCTGGCAGGAGTGCAGCCGGATCTTCAGCTCCTCCAGCTCCTGTTTGTAGCTGGTCAGAGGCAGCGATGGGTCCTGGATGGCGAAGACTTTGACCACCACCAGGCCCTCGCGGTGTTTAGCCCGGGCCACCTTGAAGAAGCGAGTGCTGCCCAGGCTCTTGTCGTACTCATGGTCGTGGATGTCAGAGAAATAACTGTCCACAGACAGGATCTGAGACGGAGCGATGCCGGCCAGCTGATTCCCCATCACTGGAAAACAACGGTACAAATACCAATGAAGAAGTAACACACATCACATCCTGTTTCTGTTTCCACTGCTCAAACAACTGGGAAACAAGGAGGGGGGGGGGGGCAACAGCCAATCAGCTGAGAGGAAGTAAGGAGGAAGCTCTTGTGCAACAGGTGCGACTGCACGACACACACACACATATAATCCGCTCAGCTGCAACATGACGCTTCACCACTAGATGTCACTAAATCTGAGCCTTCAATGTGTCATCAACGTGTCTTTAGTAGATCTGTTTTTATGTGTAGGTTAAAAACACGTTATAAATACAACGAGTTGTTACTGAGGCTGCAGGTGATGAAGATCTTTAGATAATTAAATAAACTTGTAACTTCCTCCTCACAGACTCGGAGCTGCTCGCTTGTGTTCACACGTCACATTTAACAGATGTGTTCTCCTACTCTGCTCTGGGCAACGACACGTTACACCGACACGTTACAACGACACGTTACAACGACACGTTACAAAGACACGTTACAACACGACACGTTACAACGACGTTACAAAGA